TACTATTGCAAAAACGGTAATTAGATTACCGTTACTTTCCCGTAGGAACGCTGCGTTACTGCGTTACTAAAACCGTGACTTTTTGCGAGAATGTCTCACGACAGTGACGTAAGCGAGTGTGACGTTAGTGACAACAGCTGTGTGCAGATCAACAATGGATCATATATCGAGTGCAGAGAGAGTATGAGCGTGCAGCGTTTAAAGCGTGGAAGTACTGACCTTACTTTGAGTTTGATTCCATAAAAAGTGACAAAAACATTATTGTCCGCTGTGCGTGGGAAGAAAACTTTTTTTTACAGAAAAAACCCCTAAACTTCTGAGCAAGCACCGAGTAGCTACGACGTAATGGGAAACTCACAGAGAAACTCGCGGATTCTTCCACTGACCGTGGCACACCTGCACCAGGGTAAACCTCCGCCTACCGCAGTCCTGCTTTACAGGTGAAAATAGAGCAACAGGACCGCTGAGTCTTTGACTTTATTTATTTTCTGCTGTGTTTTACTTGCATCTATTTGAAAGACTGAGTGTAAACACAAAATTTTTTTTATTTTATGTGCTGGAATGTGCAGAAAATAGGTTTAAATGTTAAACTAATTTATTCAAGTCAGAGAATGTTGCAGATAATTAAATCTTTGCTTGATGCCTAAAGTTAAAAGATTAAAACTAATAAAACAAGTTAAAAAATAGACTTTTCCATTTGATTACATTTTGTATGATGGATTATGCAGAAAAAGTAGAATTGGGCTGAAAGATCTATTTATCACCTATTCAGGTTGTAAATCGTGTTTTTAAAAAGTAACTAAGTAACTAAGTAATTAATTACTTTTGAAAATAAGTAATCAGTAAACTAACGGGATTACTTTTTTGGGAAGTAATCAGTAATTAGTTACTGATTACTTTTTTCAAGTAACTTGACCAACACTGGTGATAAATGCCACGGCTCTCCTTGTCACCTTAGCCACATGCTTTTTCTGTGTCCTGAGCTACAAGGTTCCTGGACTGGGTATTTTGCTATTATGTCAGCTGTTCTTGGGGTAACTCTTCATCCTTGTCCTCTGATTGCTGTATTCAGGATTCCTGATCGCTCACGTACACTTGATTCCACACAAAAGGATATTATAGCCTTCACATCCCATTAGCGAGACGTCTAATATTGTTGCATTGGAAGTCTGTTAAGTATCCTACCTACTGTTTCCCAGTGCCTTAAAGATGTTGTGTTTTTTTTTAAACTTGAAAAAATTAAATATACGTTGAGAGGTTGCAAAAAGTGCCAACCCTTTATTTCTTATTTTACTAGTCTAGAGGTAGTGCCTGTCTAAATGTACTTCTGTTACTGTTGCATTGTTTTAGAATGCGTTTTTGTTTAGTTGTTTTTTATATATATATATGTATAGTAGGGGTGCAACGATATTCGTATCGATATTGAACCGTTCGATACAGTGCTTTCGGTTCGGTACGCATATGTATCGAACAATACAACATTTGTAATTTATTTGATCAACTTTCCTTCCGACGATGCTGTCTGTGTTGAGCGCTCAGTGAATCTGCGTTCGACTACTCCGCCTAGGCTGCACTGTCGAGCGCAGATCCACTGAGCACTCAACACAGACAGCATAGTCAGAAGGAAGAGCGCAGGGCAAGCTAGCAAGACACATGGACCTCCCCCACCCTCATTCAGATCTGGCGTTTGGAATTATTTTGGTTTTCATGTGACGTATGACCCTGAAGGTAAGCGAGTCATGGACTAAAGTAAAACAGTATGTTGGATGTGCCATGCAATGCTCAATTACATGGGTGGGAACTAGTGTGTTAGCGCAGTTAGCTCGTTAACGTGTTAGCCGCCTAGCCCCATGCACGGGGCGATCGGCGGTAGCTCGTTAACGGAGATTTGCCGTGTTGTGGCGTTAAGGTCATTTCAACGAGATTAACCTGAAAGCACTAGTGGGAACACAACGAATATGACTGCACATTTACGCCGACATCATCCTAGTGCAAAGACCAAAACAACAAGCATGCTACTAATTTTAGCCGAGTCATTTAGACAGCTGTTAGCACATGATTCTCCTTATGCTGCTGAGAATATAGCCCAGAAGAAGCGGATAGTATAGCTTTTATTTTGGAAAGAGACATTTCTCTGTAATAAACTCTCTTTTCCAAAGATGAGTGATTCCTCAATCAGATACAGGGCTCGCAATATCGCTAGCCCGACGTCCTGGAGCTAGCGATTTTTCCAGTCGGGCTACCAAAATCGATCTCTTCCCTGCCCGTCGGGCTATTGTAGGAAAAATATATGTCAATGCTTTTGCATTCTTTCAGAAATGTAGCTGGGTAATTATTAGGGCTGAACGATATATCGCATTTGCGATAATATCGCGACATGATCAAGTGCAATTTTCTAACCGCAAAGGCTGCGATTATACTCTGGACATGTCCAAATTCATGGGCTGCATCCTCCTGAGGCCGCATTTGTAGACCGATTACGTCACAGCGACGTGCCGAAGGCTGTCCAAATTACTACCATATCCCAGAATTCATAGCGCGGCCCAGCCAAACTCCAGTTTCCAACAATGGCGGCCGCTACTAAGTTTTAAAATTACTCATACTAATCTTTCTGGGTCACAAAATAAACTTTTAACATATTTTCAGGCGAGAAAGTAGTTGTGTAAACATCAAATATCTGCTCGGTTTATCAAGATATCCCATATTTGCAAAAGTGCTTCGACGTTTTCAGGGGCGTCTGCTACCCACCAGCTCGACAGCTAGCCGGGAGCTCGAGGGTTACTGATGCGGCCGAGAACGGCACAACTCCCGGCACATCATTTTCAGATCACCGCGGAGTTTCGCTGCTCGGGTTAAACGTAATATATAAGTCACTTAGACAACCTACAAATGTTATTGTTGGGCTTTTTTCAGTGTTTTGTTTGTTCGTGAGTAAATCGGTTTGGCTGAGATTAAAGTTATTAGATTAGATAAAATAAAACTTTATTAATCCCCCGGGTGGGTTCCTCCTTGGTTTTCACACAGCTGACTAAACGTCAAACAGAAAACTTATTAAACAGAAATATGAGACAGTCGAGAATTTACACCAGTGTCTGGTTATATTTTAGATAGCAAGAAGCAGACGGCCGAGTTTATTAAACTCCACCGAGACAGCGGTGACGCTAATCAGAACTAGACCGTCCAATTTCACGCCTTTAAAATTTAAAGGCGTGTTTGTGTGTGTGTTTATACAATTGCTATTATGTTTGCACTTTATGTGTAATGTTACTGACTGCAGAGATCAGTAAGATGTGTGTATTTTTTATTTATTAGTTTTATTTATTTAATATTATTTTTTAATTGAATGACTGTCTAGTAGTTCACAGATGTCGAAAAACTGAGTGTGGTAAAGCCACTGATTTATTTTATTTATATTTCTGCAATCTGCACATTGTACTGACTTTCATTTTAATGTTTACACCAGGGTTCCTTGTCAGCACTTTATGCTCAGATGTTTGTAAGCTAAAAATAAACTATTGTGTATGTTCAAATATACTGTTGTGATTGAAGAAGTTAAATAAAAATGTCAGTCATCAATTCATGCATCACCTCATGTCATCATAACAGAGGTCTGTCTTCCAGGAAAGAACAGTTTAAAATTAATGTAATATAGTATTGGCCATACTATATGATGTATTGCTTGTCTTTGTTTAATAATACAGAAGACAAAGACCTTAAAAAATAATCGCATATCGCATCGCAATCGCAATATTGGGGCAAAAAATCGCAATTAGATTATTTTCCATAATCGTTCAGCCCTAGTAATTATGTCATTGGCATCGGTGAGCCACTGTCAATATGTGACATATTGAAGTCGCGTTTGAATTTGCGCTCGTTTTTTTGCTTTCACTTTGCAATCGTGCGAACTGTGTATAGAGAGCGACAGCACTGATTGGTGAGTGATGATAATTTGCGCACCAATTCCTCTGACATCGTCTTATTAATCGTTAGCTTACTATGCAAACATGACAAGTGAAATCTCCCGCAGCTTAAACATGTGAGAGGTTGATCGCGCAGAGAATCGCTGAGCATTGTGTGAGTCCGTGTGTAAAAGCATTTCAGTTCTGCTGAGCCAAATAAGACAGGTCAGAGTGAAGAAGTGACAGCCAAATAAAAGCTTACCACAAAACGGAGAAGTTATGACAAATCAGACTATAAGGCAAAAAGAAAGTGCAGCTTTATGGTTTCATGGACAAAAGAATTTCTGTGGCTGCAATATGATGAGCTAAATAACCAGGGCTGCACATAAGTGGTCCGCAGGTGCGCATTCGCTGTCAAAATAAAAAACACGCACAAGGGTTAGGGTTAAATTTAAAAACTGTACTTTTGAGTTAAAATATATATTTATAATTTTAATAAATGACAAATTAAAAAGGCATGAACATTTTTTTGTATCGAAAAAATATCGAACCGTGACACCAAAGTATCGAACCGAACCGAACCGTGAATTTTGTATCGTTGCACCCCTAATGTATATATAAGTATATTTACTTAGGAAAATGAAGAAAGGTCAATTGTATTTCGGTAACTGCAAGTACTGTTTTCTTATTTCAATAAAAATATTTGCAAAAAATAAAAATAAAAGAAGTGCTGTGTCGACCGCACACAGAGTGTAAGCAGGTTTGTTTTATTCTTTAACTTCTCTTAGACTAAAGTTGAAACCATTACATCACCTAATGTGTGCTTTTAGTTTACTGGTAGCATTAAGTGTGTTACTCAGTGAAGATGCTAGTCTCCATGTAACTACTATGACGAGGCACAACAGATGTTTACAACAGCAGCAGCATAGATTCACATTCAGATCACTTCACATAGTCAGACTCACACAACCTACAGTCTTTACACACTACCAACACCGTTGCACGTCAACAGATCAACAAACAATGAGGTTGAGGAAAATAAAGAATTAGAATCAGGTTACGTTTTTAAAAAGCTTATAAATGTCTCTTTTTCTCTCTCAGACTGATGTCATGCACCAGAGTGTGTATGAACTGGTCCACACGGAGGACCAGCAGGAGCTCAGAAGAAACCTGGACTGGGCTTTGAATCCTCCTGATCCAACATCCCCCAAAGGTGATCTCACCCCACACGTGCTGTCATTCCTGTATGACAGCTCAGCACACACACTCCTTTACTACAGAGCCCTTTACCCTCAAAGGCTTTTCCCAGTTTCTCAACCTCGTTTTTCTTTTTTACTCTGTCTTTGCTTGGTAAAGTTTTAACTTACCTTTGCAACTGTGAGAGTTATTTCAACGGCATTGTGTTTGTTACAATGTTGGACCCAAAACTTGCAGATTTCCCCAGATTCTGCAAATCTTTCAATACCCATATGAAAAAGATATATATAAATCTTATAAAGTTTGTATCTGTCTTGTGTGAAACTTGTATGAAAAGCATATAAGTGTGAAAACAGATATAAGATCCCTTGAAAAATTATATAATGAAACTTGTATGTTTTGGATACTTACTAAAACAATGTATGAAAGTAATGCGAAAGTGGCCACTTTCATGAGTAATCACATATAAGTTTTTACTATTTCTTTTCCGTATGGGTATTATCTTTGCCATCATCTAACTGAATATTATTTGTGAACTTCTTAAAGACTCAAATATGAAAGTCTTTGTTTTTGACCTTCCACTTCTGTCCACATGAACACAACCATGAACATTTGGATGTCAGTATCAGATGGTTTAAGCTGTAAGAACAGCCTCGGGTCAGATCACATGACCCTGTGATCTTCACTGTGGCTTATGAGGTGAAGTGTGTTTGGGTTTTAAAATACTTATGTGTTACGTGTTAGCACTGTGTTTAAGACCTGTGGCCCTGACACAACCGACGGACTCCGAGAAACCGTTTGCACTCTCTTCTTTAAATCATTTGCAAATCTCAGGAACACATTTCTGAAAACATCAAATCTTTAAACCAGGACAGTTTGCTACATTATAACAACTCATGTTGAATTTGATGTGTCTCAAAAAGTTGAGGCAGGAAAAAGCAAAGCTGGAGGAACATTTAAATGAACCTGTTGAATGAACAGGTTGTATCTTATGGAGGTAGAGTTTCTCAGAAGATGAGCGGACGTTCTCCAGTATAAAGTTTGAGTATCTCATCATCCCGAGTACCTACTGTCATTTTAAAAATCTCTGTGCCCAAGGGACCCGGTTGAAAATCAATATCTAATGCCCATTCAGACCTTCAAGAATCACTGCATTACAAACACACCAACACATGGAAGTATGGCTCTGCCCACAGTTTTCTTTGTGGTTTTTATAGAGATGGAATTTGACAGTAGCTCATCTGTGGTCTGCTACAACCCGGAGCAACTGCCCCCGGAGAACTCGTCCTTCCTGGAGAGAAGCTTTGTGTGTCGCTTTCGCTGCCTCTTGGACAACTCTTCTGGTTTCCTGGTACGTGACATTTTCTATTTTTACCAGAGCTAACACATCAACACGCTGGACTTGACGTTCCCGTTCTCTGCACGTAGACATCTATCGTAGGAGTGTATCTGTGTATTCTTATAAACCTGGTGGGTTAAAGACATGAACAGGTATTTATGTAGTACTTTTCAGCTCTAACTGAACCCTCAAAGCCCTTTCTACTCACAGTCTGGATCACTAATATTCAAACTGATAGGCGAGCAGTTTCCTGAGCTTCATTTTCCCAGAAAAGAATCCAAACTTTTATCAGAGTCGTCTGCTACCTGTTTCCATGTCCCCATGCCCGCTAACGCCCACCTTCACTGAGGTTTTCCCTCAAAGATCCATCTTTACAGTTACCTGTAGTACTCACAGGTTATAAAAACAGTACATCTACTAATACAAATACAAAGTCACATCCATTACCAGAAGGATAACTGCTTATTTTGCTTACTTCCAGGCTTTGAATATCCAGGGAAGGCTCAAGTTCTTGCATGGGCAGAACCAGTGGCAAGAAAATGGAGGGAAAGCTGCGCCGCTGCTTGCATTATTCGCTATTGCAACTCCTCTTCAGCCTCCATCCATTCTAGAGATCAGAACCAAGAACATGATCTTTAGAACCAAACACAAGCTGGACTTCACCCCCATGGCCTGTGACGCAAAGTAAAAATACATTTCAGTACTTTGTATTCGACTGAGACACCTCACGTCTGTTTGTTTGTTTGTTTGCTTGCTTGTTTGTTTGTTTGTTTGTTTGTTTGTTTGTTTGTTAGGGTTAGGAGGTACAGTTCGGTTTGAGATTTGTGTTAGCCACATGCTAAAGTGGAGCATTTTCATTGGATGTTAGATTTCAGGTGCCATCGCTCATTTTCTGTTGAATGATTTTCAAAGTGAGACAAAGAAATCTAGCTGACAAACCGCAGACTAGTTATGCTGAACCTCCTAAGACCTGAACTCTTCCACGGCAGCATTTTTCATTTCTCTTTGATATCTGGGCTGATTGGGACCTGATGAATGTAAAAATAAAGAATTACCAGATTTTTTTTAATCTAATTTTTGTTTCTAAGAAAAATGAGAGCCACGTATGAGGATATTTGTTTCAATAGAACAGTAGCAGTATAATGTCCTCGTGAGTGGCTATCAGGCCCTTGTAGACCACAATTGAGTATTTTGGTCCAAATAACCCAAAATGTGACGTCCACATATGTGGACGCAGGTCGGAGGTTAAGTTAAGTTGTGTTGTACCTGTTTTGATCATATGTATCCTCCTTCATGAGATCCATGGGTGTGTCAGATGGGTGGGAGTTGTTTTATTTTTTAGAAAAATGGAGAAAACTAAAACAACATCACACTGGTAGAAGTTTCACAGGGTGACTATACTAAAATATAATACTATAGTTTTTTGTTTTTGCTTTCTTTACAGTGACATGTGGAATGAACTGTAAACAGCTGCCCGAGGTAACTCTGGTCGTTTTTTGTACAGGGGGAAGATAGTGCTGGGGTACACGGAGGCTGAGCTGCGGGCGAGGGGCTCTGGCTATCAGTTCATCCACGCCGCAGATATGTTGTACTGTGCAGAGAACCATGTCCGAAGTAAGTAACCAAAAACCAGCTGTCAACCAAAACAGTCTAGTTCATTCAAAGATGGGGCTGAACACTTGTGCCCTGTGCAGTGCCTGAAAATCCCTCATTTCCATTCTCTGCGAGGCGTTCTTCTGATTTGTTGCCTCGTGTAAACACAAGTTTTGATCAGCAGGTGGGTGGAGCTTCTGTGGTCATAACCAGAGCTGTGTGACTGCGAGGATAATATCAGGAATTACACATCAGGAATTAAATCCATGTAGACATTGAGGGTTCTCGAGAGGGGCCGTGCTAACACCTGCTGCTCTCTGGCAGCAGCACCATGCTCTCCCTTGTTTTAAATGCACTTTAGAGCAACATGCAGCAACACTACACATGAGCGGGAGGAGGGAGGTATGGGGTCTTCACACACCCCCGTTCTCTGCTAGCCATTGGGGCGGGGGGGCTTTCTCCCTTTCCTATCCCTCACTCATGTCTGTCCCGTCTGTAACATCTGAAAATAAAATATAATAAATAATAAAAACAAAGGTCGATCAAATGGACCAATACGGCAATGCCACGATGATCCATTTGGCAAAGTAAATCCATTGGGTCTCCTTGTTGGTCTTCAGACAACAATTCTGATGGCTAAAGAACCAAATGGGACAGGAAAAAAAAAAGGAATTACACAACAGTAGGAAAGAACAAGTTGTATGAAATTGTGTAAAACAGACTGAAGCCTGAGCTCTCAGCATGTGTCTGTGTGTTACCCTCATGATGTGAAAAGCTGTGGTGTGTTTGTTCTTTGCAGGCATGTTGTTATTACCATGCCTGCACTACTGCTGCGGCTGATTTAGCCCATTTAGCAGGTTACATGAGCTGTTATATGTCTGCTTTAATACTGAAGAGAATTACCAGCTTGACAAACCTGACCGTGACTTCACTCCTTCACCTGCCCAAATTCCATTTTACCACAACCCAGCAGCCTGCCGAGCTCTGTTTCCTGTATGTGGTAAAACAAATTACAAAAGCCTTTAAAACTACAAAAATTATTATTTATTTACTTTCAGACATTTCATAAATTAATTAAAAAGGTCTTAATGTGTGCTACTATTGCAATTACTGCTGTATACGATTACAAAACTGGATAAAGAATAGTTAAAAAAACCCATAACATTCAACACGTACAGATCCAAAGTCTTCCTCCTCCTAGCGTTATTCCCGCTCTGCAGGGTCCGCTTTTCTGCAGTTTTTGTCACTTATACCATACCACATACCATCACAGTCGCGCTCCTTGCATCTTCTCCGTGATCGATGCGATGCCCAGCCGCTTTCGGAAGTCGGTGTTCATGACATGGTCCCATAGTTTCAGGCCCAGGCACCATCGCAGTATCCGCATTTCCATTGTGTGAAGGGCCTGTTCGTGCTTTACGGTGGACGGCCAACACGCTGATCCATAAAGTAGATCTTTGACTTGAGGTGGTCAGGTATTCGTCGGTCGCACAGGACACCAGTGACTTGGCACCACTTCATCCAGGCCGCATTAATCCTGGCTCGTACGTCTGGCAGGATGTTGCCGTCATTGCTGATCATCGATCTGAGGTACCTGAAGTGAGATACTTTTGCCAGGTCTTCCCCATCGATGCTGATGGTGCCGTCGGTTTGGGGGTCGGCTTCTTTTTTTTTTTTTTAAATGACATCAGAAACAGCAGTATGCGACATTACGTGATGGCAGAGCTTCAGCTCATCCTTTGTCATTTTTTTTTTTTTTTTTTTTTTTTTTTTTTTTAATAAATAGGACAGGGGGAATGAATGAGAGAAAGATGGGGAGAGAAAGAAAGAAAACCAAAGGGGAGAAGAGACGGTGAGAAGGGGGGGGAAAAGAGAGAAAAAAAAAAAAGAACTCCTGGGTCACCTGTATGGAGAAAAAAAAAACAAACAAAAAAAACAAACAGAGGAGACAGCAAACAACAAAGAGCAACATAATAATAGAGAAAACAAAGCACCATCACAATAAACTAGCTAGTCATAGATATCAATATTTACTAAATAATAAACGATATTGTGCAGCACGCAAGATAGACAGCGCACAGTGTGCTTTGAGGCAGCAGCCAAGAAAGCTTTAGTCCGCGTCTGTGAATACCCATGTGTGCATACCTGTGTGGATCAGCATGCTTGCATTCCAAAGGTTTCTCCATGTAATGATCTGCTAGGGAGTGTGGGGGGGCCACAGCCCCGTCCTCCAGGGTGTGAAGCGGGTATGGAGGAGATCAAAACTCCAGACATCCAGAGGCCCCCAGAATACAAGAGACCATGGAAGACCAACAGAGGGGCAGCCGCGCCACTGTCCCAGTAAGAGCTGAGGAGAGTCCCAGATGAGGGCTCACTCAGCAGCCGCGGAGCAGAAGCCAGGGGGAGTTGCAGTGACGCGCCCGTGAGCTCCGCCGGCCCCCAGCTGTGCCTGAGTGACCGAGCCCCAGGCCGAGAGGCCGGGGGCACCCCACCTCCAAAGGGGCCCCAAAGGGGGTCGCCTTCTAAGTACTTAGTCTTCTTGGTGTTCAACCTCAGCCCATACTCACTCAGGCGTGTCTTCCATTGCTGCATTTGGTGTTGCAGCTCCATTCGGGATTCATCTGCGAGGAAGACATCAATGGCATAGAGGAGTGTCCAAGGGCAGGGTGCCTGGAGGTCAGCGGTCACGGTGTCCATGCAGAGGATGAAGAGAAGCGGGGACAATGCGGAGCCTTGGTGCACGCCCACGGTGATGCTGAAAGGTGGCGATGTTCCCACTGGGCTTCTGACTGTGCTGGTCACGTTTCTGTACACGAGCTTGATCAAATCGACGTAGGCCTCAGGGACCCCGTGTGATCACAGAGAGTGCCAGATCAGGTCATGAGGGACTCTGTCAAAAGCCTTCTCCAGGTTGAGGAAGGCCATATGGATGGTCTTGGTCTTCTCCCGGTGCTTCTCCTGCTGCTCCTGCCGCATCCTTTGACGAAGCCACACTGGTTGGGCGTTACTGTGACAATTTCTCGCAGCCGGGCATCGATGATCCACTTGAATACAGATCCAAAGTCTGACTTCCTAAAATGATTCTAGGATCAGGTCAGCAGCACACCACAGTGGGCTGAGCAGGCGATCCATATACTGCATGTTTTCCCCTCTACCCCTCCTCCGCTGTCTGCTCCACTGCACTGTCATAAAATGATAAATGCTAAAAATAAATAAATAACTTAATTTTTAACTAAATTCTAAAATATTATCAGATGTCACTAAATGAATAATGTACTAAACTGTGAAATATAGAAACCCTACCAGTAACTTGCAAAGCCAAGCTGCACACGTGTTGTGTAGCTTTGTTCTCTCTAGAGGGAAATCACAAAAGCCAGCAGCTAAAAAAGCTCTCAGCAGTTGTGACACACACAACAATTCAAATTAAACCTCTCATTTTTAAGTCTACCTGGAGTCTAGAGAAGCAGCTCAAGGACAACATGAATCGTTTTTGTTAGCAGCCTGGTCCCTGCCAGTTACTTTGGAAGCACTGAGTAATAAACGTGAAGTGGGAGTTGAACTAGACCAATTATGAAAATGTTCTGCACTAGAAGGACAACGACTTTTAATATAGTTTGCAATATTTATGAATTAAAGTAAAAGACTGAATGACTTATTATATTAAATTTAACGTGCTGGTGAAAAGCAATCCCAGAATTCATTACGGCAGCCCGATGCTGGCAGGGAATGATCTCCTTAGCAGAAAAGCTAATCTCACAGATCTCAGGCAAGGTTGGGGTGGAGCAAATTTTGAGAGATCCAATTAGTAACAGAAGCTAGACAGTCATTAATGTTGGTAGGAGTATTGAGTTTGGAGTCTTCCCAGAGAGGTGGCGTCTGATACCAACCTGACATATAGACACAGACATACAAGCACACACAGATACAAACATCCGTTCCCACCCTCACGCTCTCATATGCACTTACTCCACACTCAACCAACGTGGAGACTAGGGATGGGTATCGTTTAGGTTTTATCCGATACCAGTGCCAAATCGGTACTTTTGAAACGGTGCCGGTGCTCAAACGGTGCTCAAACCGGTGCTTAAAGAATGGAGAACACAAAATTGGTCCAAAAACCTCTCGTTCACCTGTTTTTTGTAAAAAGATGCAGCTATGGGGCATATATGGCATCACTCTTGGCTGGAAGCAGTGCTTAAACAATGGAAAAAACACAAACTTTGTCCAAAAACCTCTCATGTTTAACTGTTTTCCACTTTTTCTTCGGTCATTTTAGCCTTTTTGGCCAGGGTGAAGGGAGTATCTGCCATCAAACAAGAGGACAGCCGCATGTAGCTATGATGATGTTTGCTAGTTCACCTTACGTGCATTAATGTAATAACGTGGTTAGCCTACTCAACGTAAATTACACACGAACAACATTAAGCTACTCACGCAGAGAAGAACGGCTGCTGCTGCATCATCATCCTCATCATTTCTGCTACACTGGCAGGGCTGGGGGCCAGGACTCTCCTCTTCGGGTTCTTGGGGGATGTTGCTAACTCCGGATCCGATAACTGGCAACCCACGCACAGTAGATGTGCTCGGTGTGAGGTCTCGCAGCAAGCTATCAAATACGGCGCATTTCTGGGCTTTTAAAAAAAACGCTATGCGTCGCCAGGTGTTTCATCGGATTCGAGGTGTATCACGGTATCAGCTTAAAGCACTTGTTGCTGCTGAGTTTGCATCTTTTGCTGTGAAGTACAGCCAGACTTTTGACCGCTTCGCCTTGGGCATTTTTAATCTGTAGCTCTGCTCTAAAAGAACGTACGTACCTGGGCCCGCCTACTATCCTCGGAAACGTAAAATGATTGGCTAGAAGTGTATCACAGCTCAGGAAAAAAAAAGCACCGAAATAAAGCACCGAAATGTGCGCTGCTTTTCGGTCTGGTTACTACCGTTTATGTCAGAACACCGGTACCCATCCCTAGTGGAGACAGACATAAAGAGACGCTGTACACACGATCACACTCCCCAAGCGTACTCTACGAACCGGGTCTAGGTACCCTTGCCCCTGGAGGGGGGAACTGCACCCAGACCCAGGTGGTGTTACCCTTTTCCCTGCGGTGGGGAGAGGCAGACCGCCCCGACTCCGCAGCAGCAGGGAGGCCCCACACTCCAGACCGCAGTCGGACGGCCAACTCCTCCTCCTAGCCCCCCTGCTCCAGCAGGCTGCAGAGAACGGGGGTGAGAGAAGACTCCAAACCTCCCTCCGCCCGTTCATTGTAGTGTTGATGCATGTGTGTTCTAAGGTGCGTTTAAGAGTCCAGGATTTTAGACTTGATTGAAACACAGCTCTCGACTCAGCAGGCTGTGAAAAACACTAAACCAAAGCAGGTGGCTCAACATTCACACCCAAAAAGGTTTTGCTACTGAACAACCTGAGTATATGTAGGAAATCCTGTGCTGAGGACGTTTGGTCTGGTCAAAGAGTTCAGACAGCTTTTGTAAGTAATCCTGTGGGATTAGTAAACAGATTGAACAAAGCTGCAGAGCTGCCTGAAGAGAGGATCAGGCAAAGCATCAGAGATGAGAGCAGCACCACCACGTGCACTTCAGTGGACAGATGGGCACGTGGTCAGAAGTGACGAAGCCTGACCATGATTAACGGTCTTTGACCATAACCCACTAGTAAAGGTGAAATGAGTCAGTCCACTGCCACCCTGTCCAGCCTGGCAGGACACAGATGCTGTGGATAATTTGTGACAACTTTCGATGGAAACTCATTTCAAAGTGTTATGCAGATTTAGACTGTCATAGTGGACAGAGGTTATCTCTGAGTAACAGTTGTTTGTGTTCAATGTTTAAAGTGATGAAGACTGGAGAGAGTGGTCTGACTGTGTTCAGACTCCTGACTAAGGAAAACCAGTGGAAGTGGGTCCAGGCCAATGCCCGGCTGGTGTATAAGAATGGGAAACCAGATTACATCATCGCCACCCAGAGGCCTCTTTTGTAAGTACCTGTCTGTGTACAAATCTCATTTGGTCATTTATCTCGAGTAATACACTGAATCAAACCATTAAGATATCCATCCTCCTTCCCTTCAATGCCATACGTTTGTATTTCTTAGTTGTTTAAAAGAACTGCACAGAGAAGTCCTGACAATGATGTCTTCTGTGTTTATAGGGATGAAGAAGGAGGAGAACATTTGCGTAAGCGCTCTATGCATCTACCCTTTACGTATGCTACAGGAGAAGCCCTGCTCTATCAGTCCAATCATCCCATCGCAGGCTTTAGAGATGGCAGCTGTGTAAAAAATTTTAGCAAGTCAAAGAAGAATCGGACTGATAAGCTGCTGACGGATGGCCTGGACCCGGGCTCCCTTCTTGGGGCACTCATGAGTCAGGATGAGTCAGTGTATGTTTGCCAGCCAGCTGTGGAGCCCAAGCTGTCATTTCACAGCAGCTTCTTTGCAGAGCACGTTAGTTTCTCTGAAAGTGAACCCTCCAACCTGCACAGAAGCTGGAATGAACCTGCTAATAGTGTCGTAGGTCCAGGCATCACAGAACCAGGTACCAGCTTTGACCCACTGCTGGCTACTTTGGACTCGCTCTCTTTGGAGGGCCAAGGGATGGATGCAGAAGAGAGGAGTTACTCAAACAGCGAGCTGTTTGGAGCTCTGGAAGGGCTGGGCCTGAGTGCTGAGGACCTGGAGTTGCTGCTGCTAGATGAGCGTATGATCAGAGTTGAGATGGACCCTGAACACGTGCCCACTTTGGATGATCTGCTGACAAATGATGAGATTCTCTCTTACATCTATGACTCGATAGAAGGAAGGACTGATTCCACTGTACATGGAGGACAGGTACCTCCTAGCACTACCGCAGCAACCTCCACACCAGTGTCATTATCAGAAAATAATCTTGATACAAGTGTGCAAATGCAGTTTTGTCCCTCCAAGCCTCCAATAATGGAGCACACTCCCATTGTCCAGCTATCCCAGCAGATGCAACAGCATCTCAACATGCGAACCACTAAAGTACCACCTAACTGGGGCCAGCAGAGTGACCATTTCCCCCACAGGATAGTAAATGGAGAGCTGCTGGGGCAAAATCAGTCTATTGCCAATGGACAATGGACAGCCCAAGACATTCTAGTCCCAGCAGAGATCGAGTTGGAGCAACTGACCACACAGCAGACTACTTTCAATGACAAGGCCTCAGACTTGAATAGCAAGCTTCACCAACACTACCTTCAGCAGGAGCAGCAACCAAGGACCCAGAAGCAGCTCTCACTACAGTGCCATGCCAAACAGACGGCAGCAAACCTTGACGGACGATGTGGTCCGTCGAGCCCAGAGCATTCAGCAGAAAAAATGCCATGGCAGAACTACAGCTTCAGCGAAAGCCTGGGCAGCAGTTTCTGCATTGACAACAGCCAAAACGCTCTTACAAACACCTCACTGGAGTCTTGCAGGGAGCCCACTATGGACAGTGTGGATTACACAGTCAGTGGAGGTGGTTTGCTTGAGAGAAGTGCAGAGCAGCGGGGCGCTGAGAGCACAGTTGCATCTTTTCGTGGAATGAACCACAAAAGCCACCCAGAGCAGATCCCAGGCCCCTTGTTCGAGGTCATCTCCAGTCTGTCGCAGTGCCCTCCCTGCACTAGCCCCCTGGAGCAGATTCTAAGAGTGGGTAAGCCCTGCTGCCAGCTCGACCACTTTGGCTTGGTGACCTCTGAGATCCTTGACGACCCCAATCACAGCAAGGTGAGGTTGCTGAACATTGTCATACTTTGAAATCATTACTAGCTGCACAGCTTGGAGGTTCCTTCCTGAGCCGGGCATACAGACTGTGTACCCAGGTTTTAACTTTTTAGTAGCTTTTACATTTAAATCTGTTATTAATTGGTAGAACCTGGGACCATTTCGTGGCCTTTCCGTTTTTTAATTCCACGCCATTTCCACTGTGTTTAATGGAGTATAGCCAAATTTTCAAACATGTATTTTTTTCCCATTTTATTTTAAAATTTCAGTCTGAGTTTTTTAAATGAGCTTAAATGGCTGAATAAAAGGCATACATCCACTATCGAACCTCGTGGCCGATTTGTGCCCCATTGAAACCCATTATAAACGCTATTTTTCACTGTACAATTATTACCATTAACGTCGTGGCAATGGCTTAACTTTCACTTTCATTCTGGACTCAGGGCCTTAGAATTGTAATTTTTTTATTTGGCCACCGGGTGGCGCCCTTGTTCCACATGTGACGCCTGCTGGAACATACACACCTTCTCCAGCGGCCTGCTCGAGACAGATACCCGGAAAAGGCAGACTAATTTCCCGCGTGCCGCAGCAGCTTGGCCCGCTGCTTGTTCCGGACCATTTTCTGCCCTTAGGATCGTTTGAGGGTGCATTAATTTTTTTTAATCAACAGGAAATGACGTATTTGTTTTCACGTGGTAGCGGAAGTGTGTGCTGCAGACACGGGAACCGAACCATATGCTCCGGCGCTGCGCGAAACACACCCGCGGCAGAGGCACTCCTCCCCGGGGGAGCAGGAGCAGCAGCGCCGCCTGGGGACATTTTCGGCTTCTGGAAAAAAATTAAAAACGGATCGAAATTAATGTTCGTGCCAATCTTTTGTCCATCTAAAGGCCTAATTATAATAACAATAAAATATTACTTCAAATGTTTTTTTTGGAAAATATTTTATGTTTTATGTTTTATGTTTTTGGGGCAAAAAAAGCAGTGCACTCATGTGACGAAACCGGGATATAAAGGGTTAAAATCGGCGAAATGTAATTAAAACTTGACATGAATATTTCAAGGAGAAGTAGGTCTAAAAGATTTGCTAATTTAAAGTGGAATAAAATATTAATATATAAATTTTTTATAGCACTTTTTGGGCGTGGTCGATAGTGTGCATTTTATGAAATGCGCTCCTGGAAAAAAAATAAAAGGCGATCGAAATGACTGTTGGTGCCAATCTTTAGTCCATCTAAAGGCCTAATTATAATAACAAACAAATATTACTTCAAATGTTTTTTTTGGAAAATATTTAGTTTTTTTGTTTTTTGGGGCTAAAAAAACAGGGCGCTCATGTAATAAAACTGGGATTTAAAGGGTTAAAACAATGAAAATATAATTAAAACTTGACATGGATATTTTAAGCAGAAGTAGTTTTAAAAGATTGACTAATTTAAAGTAGAAAAAAATATTGATATATAACATTTTAGAGCACTTTTTTTGGCGGGACCATTTTTGGTCCCGAGGGTCACGAAAGGATGGATTTTTAAAAATGTGCTCCTGCACAAAAAATAATAATGGATCAAAATGAATGTTGGTGCCAATCTTTGGCCTATCCAAAGGCCTAATTATAATAACAATCAAATATTACTTCAAATGTATTTTATGGAAAATATTAATTTTTTAATTTTTTTTTTCTGTTAAAAACAGGGCGCTCATGTACCTAAACTGGGATTTAAAGGGTTAAAACAATGAAAATATAATTAAAAGTTGATATGGATATTTTAAGCAGAAGTAGTTTTAAAAGACTGACTAATTTAAAGTAGAAAAAAATATTGATATATAACATTTTTAGAGCACTTTTGGGGCGGGACCATTTTTGGTCCCGAGGTTCACGAAAGGATGGGATTTTGAGGTTCTACCAAGGTTAAGGAAATCATCTTTTATCTGTCTGTATTCTATGTATTTAGACATGAAGGTGCATCAGTTACTCAGTAATTTGATTAAAAGAGGAGGAACGGTGGTTGATGGGTCTGTCTCAAGTGAGACAGTTCTACTACAACGGCAAAAGCAAGACGCAAGTCCTCACAGCTCTTTGTGTTGCTCGTGCACGAGGGAGAGAACTGTGACGAGCGTCGTTCCTGACAGGCGCTCTCAGCCAGCTCCCCCGCAGCACTGCTCTTTATTGAGGTTACGTGAATATGCATAAGTTCATTAACATATGACGTCTTACACAAGCATACATGTGAACAAAGAGTACCTTGTCTGTGTGTACGTGTAGCCGTGTGTGTGTGTGTGTGTGTGTGTGTGTGTGTGTGTGTGTGTGTGTGTGTGTGTGTGTGTGTGTGTGTGGGGTCAAAATGTGACCCTGTGAAGACTCCTCAGACCTGCTGTGCCAGGAGTCCAGCGGTCCACCTAAACAAAAGGCACTTAAGATAAGATAAGATAAGATAAGATAGAACTTTATTAATCCCTCGGGTGGGTTCCTCTGGGAAATTCGACTTCCAAAAAAGCACAGCACCGACAGAAGTTACAGAGTTGTACACACACACATATATATAAATACAGAGACAATATAAATAAAATATACAAAGGGGATAAATAGAATAAATAGGAATAAAAATAAAAATACAAGTGAATTGCACATTTCAAGTATTGAGTCTATTGCACCGTTGACTATTTACAAAAGTATTGCACAAGGTATTGCACAGTGAGGTGCAGAGGCACTACAGCTTAGTTGTTCCCCCCTCCTTTGTCCTCCTGTTTCCCCTCCCTCTCCCCTCCAGAGAGGAGTTAAACAGTCTGATGGCGTGTGGGACAAAGGAGTTTTTAAGTCTGTTAGTTCTTGTCTTGGGGAGAAGCAACCTGTCACTGAACAGACTCTTCTGGTTGTTTATGGCCGTGTGCAGAGGATGCCCAGCATTGTTCATAATGTCCATCAGTTTCTTTAATGTCCTTTTCTCTGCCACTGTCACCAGAGTGTCCAGCTTCATGCCGACCACAGAGCTAGCCCTCCTGATCAGTTTCTCCAGCCTGGATGATCCCTCTTTGCTGTGCTGCTCCCCCAGCACACCACAGCATAGAAAAGTACTCCAGCAACCACTGACTGGTAAAACATCCTCAGGAGCTTCCTGCAGATGTTAAAAGACCTCAGCCTCCTGAGGAAGTACAGTCGGCTTTGGGCTTTTTTATACAGGTGCTCTGTGTTGCATGACCAGTCCAGTTTATTGTCCACCCACAGCCCGAGGTACTTGTACTTGTTGACCACCTCCACCTCCTCCCCCTCTATCTGAACCGGCAGTGGACCTGCTCTAGACCTCCCGAAGTCCACAACCAGTTCCTTAGTCTTTGAGGTGTTGAGTTGCAGGTGGTTTGTGTGACTCCATGCGACAAAGTTCCTCACCAGACTTCTGTACTCCTCTTCCTGATCATCCCAGATACACCCCATGATGGCTGTGTCGTCTGCAAACTTCTGAATATGGCATAATTCAGAGTTGTAGCAGAAGTCAGAGGTGTACAGGGTGAAGAGAAGAGGGGACAGCACAGTTCCCTGTGGTGCTCCTGTGCTGCTGACCACTGTGTCAGACGTAAAGAGATAAGAGTAGGTGTCCTCCTGTAGTATAAATCAGTAAGAGCAGGTACGACCTCTCTCACGACTTTAAGATGTGTGTTTATGCCAGAGTGCTCTGGGAGGCTCACAGTCTTTGCAGACTGCTAAGGATCAGACCTCCTATCATTATGCAATCGATTATAAAACTCTATATATGAGTAAATATTTCTAAGCATAAATGACAATCAACAATATAAACCTAACAGTGGTTAGCACTGTTGTCGCACAGCAAGAAGGTCCTGAGTACAATTCCACCATCAGGCCGGCATCCTTCTGTGTGGAGTTTGCATGTTCTCCCCGTGTTTGCATGGGTTTTCCACGGGTACCCCGACTTCCTCCCACTGTCCAAAGACAAGCAGTTTGTGGGGATAGGTTAATTGATCAATCTAAGTTGCCCATAGGTGTGAATGCAGGAGTGAACGTGAACGTGAGTGGCTGTCTGTCTCTGTGTGTTGGCCCTGCGACAGACTGGCGACCTGTCCAGGGTGTACCCCGCCTCTCGCCCTATGACAGCTGGGATAGGCTCTAGCGCCCCCCGCGACTGTGAAAAGGATAAGTGGAAGCTGATGGATGGAATTTCATATTATAGTAAAAAATGTCACTCAGAATTCAGGAAGTAGTTGAGACAGCCTCGGGATGGTAGGGAAGAATGAGAGAGAGGGGTGGCTGAAGCAAACGTCACTGCACACGTGGGTGAAAAACACTGAGGTGGTGTTGGGTAGCTATGGTGCAAACGTGAACAAGCAATGTGAAAGGATAGGTGCCAGTGTTTTTGTCTACAGCATACAAATGGCTGAGTGGAAAAAAGGGAACGAGTATTTTAAGCAACTGGTGAATGAAGAAAATGACAAGCAGACTTATTGTCATGCATAAGTGTGCAAGGAATGAAATGTCATTGCAGTTACTCAATGTAAGATGAAAAAATATTTAAAATAAATCAAATATGTTAAAATATGTATAGCAGCAAAATATATTATCACGTGCAATGGTAAAAGTGAGCTGTGGAAAGCTGTGGACACGTACACAAACATGGTATTTTCATGTTGAGCAGTCTGATGACCTGGTGAAAAAGCTGCAGAGCCTCTATCCACAGGCCAGCAAGGAGAACAGTCCATCGTGAGGGTGTGACGAGTCACACATGATAGTTTTGGCTTGAGACAAGTAGCCCTGACTGTCATAGTGTGTGTGATGAGGACTCAGAGGCAGGAGGAGGTTTATCTAAAGGCAAGCGCTTTACTGAGCGGATACGTACCAGCATAAAGCAAAATACAAAACGAAACCAAAAACAAATGCAAACTTTCAACTCACGAGGAGTGAGAAACAGGACGTGGACTAACACTCTAACAAAGGACAAGAGGACAATATACAGTCTACACAGGACGGCGATTAGGAGAAGCTAGGGAAAAGGTAGGTTTACAAGATGGTAGTAAGACCTGCTATGATCTATGTTTGGAAACAGCGGCATTGACAAGAAGACGAGGAAGAAAAGGGGAAAACTACCGAGGGTTTGTGTAAGTTCTCAGTCATGCAGGTCGTGGTAGTCTGGAATTTTAACAAACTAAGGAAACTGGACTTCTTTAGGTTTGTGAAGACATTTCAGGTCTCATCCAAGAAGAAGCTTCTTGGATGAGACCTTATAAAAACAGCTGGTGGAGAGTCCCAGTTATTTATCTGAGGTATTTACTGAGGTTGTGAAGGTGCTTCTGAGGGTTGTTGATCCACTGTTGATCAGGTGTGTCATCACATGAGCCAAGGTGTGGAAAAAGACAGGAAAAAAGGCAGAAGAACTTTGGATGGAGTAGTTCATCCCAAGCACAAAACTCAAACACAGCCTAAGCAGCATAGTGTATGCTGTGCAGTGCTGTGAGCAGTGCTTGGACCTCTGCACAGGAGAAACCAAACAGCTGCTCCACAAAAACTTGGCACATTATAGAAGAGCCACCTCAACAGGATAGATGTACACGTCTGTACAGATGCCATTAAAGAACAATGGTCCCTCTTTCAAGGATGCCAGGGTCCACAATATGGACTGAGGACACAGATGGTTTAGAGGGGAGTAGAGTAAATGGTAAATGTACTGACTCTTATGTAGAGGGACTCCATCTCCATTCACTGTGAGCAACCAGGCACAACGCCCCCTATCAAATACTCTAAAGATCACTTCCAGCTGGGACTCTCCACCATTTGTTTTTATATCTGAAGAAGTCCATCGGATGAGAGCTGAAATGTCTTCACAAACAAAATAAGTCCAGTTGCCTTCTTTTTCAAGCTCTCAAGAAAACCACAGAGTAGAAACGTGAATGTAGTGTGACAGACGAGACGGTAGGAACGGACTGCAATGGAGTCATGCTCCGCTGTGGCTACCACTGAAGGGGGAAGCCTGAAGCCCCTCCCTGAGCCTGGTTCTGTTGTTTTCCCTTCCCACTGTTGCCAAAGTGCTTGCTCAATAAAATTGAATTGAATTAAAGAAGAAGGTTGTAGGGACTTTACCCTATAACTGATATTTTTCTGATATTCAGAACATGCTCCATAATATTGGACCATCTTCCTCAATAAGGTTTTTGCCTTATTTATTTGTTTGTGTTTCTGCTTTTAAGATTATTTTAAGATTATGAATCATAATCTTTGTTTTATACAAACACCCACTATGAGCCAAATGGCAATCCTGTTTAATGTTAATGATATTTTATGTCCTTTGCAGATGGAAAATGGCTGCGTGCTAAACAGTACTTACCCAGGAGGTTGTGCCCTGCCTAACAGGAATGGATCTGTGCCTCCTACTATCCAGGTACCCAGCCCTGAGACGTTGCCTACACTTCCAGACCCACCAGCCACCGGCTTCTACCTCTGACCATCTGACCAGGGACAGTCATGTAGCAGGACACTGTGAATGGCCAGAAACATCCAGTGACTGGACCAGCCTTATACATCTACACACTACAACAAACAAAGCTGGAGAAACGTAGGCCGACATCTGTGTTGTCTGTTTTTGTCTTTTCATTTTGACTTTGTAATGTTGTGTCAGGGGAGGGGATCACCGAGTTATATTTTAAGTCATATTATCATATGAGTCCTTTGTTTACACTAATGCAGTTAAGAGCGCTTAGCTTGTTTTAAGTAAATATGAATCATTGGAGGCTGGGTTTTAGAAATCTGCATTCAGATACACTGTAAAACCAACGTGTTCTCGTCCCAGGACATCAGATTCTGCCGTGCTGTCTTAGTATTGGTACTTTAATGCACCAGCATGGCTTCATTAGACACTGAGAACCAAGAAATCTGTTTTCAAGAGGAATTTACAAGTTAGCCAGCCAGTCTGTGGTTTATGTCCTCTTCAGGAGTCTGTGGTTTGCACTTTCATTACACTCAGTGATTCTTTGCCTATTCGTTTCATACAGATTATTCAGACTGAATCTACAGTTATATGGACCAAGAATTTGGCCACATCTCCTAATCTTAGAATTCAGGTGTTTTCAGCCCCATTTCCAGGGGTGTATAAAATAAAGCACCTAGCCATGCAGTCTGTCTTTACAACCATTTATGAAAGAATGGGTCATTATAAGGAGACACTGATTTTTTGCATGGCACTGTAATAGGATGCTACTACTGCAGCAAGTCGGTTAGTGCAATTTCTTCCCTCCTTCCTACATATATTTTATAATCAATTTTAAGGAGTGTTATTATTATTATTAAGTGGAAGCTTTTAGCAGCCGGAGTAGGTCAGCCACTAATGTGCCGTTACAGTGCTAAGGCATACAGTGTGTAAAAGTCACTGATTTGCTTACTCAGTAACTCCGGCATTAATGTAAGCACAAAAACTGTGGCATGTGTTTCCATGGCTCCTGTAGGTTTACTGTGTAGGTGCTCCAGTACTAGGGTATCCATGTAGAGTCTGTTATGTAAAAAAGGTCTGATCCATCCATCTATCCATCCATTTTCTGCCCATCTCTGCCCAGACCACCCTCCTCCAGCACCTCAATTCAATTTTATTCATACATCCTCAAATCACAACAAGATTCAAGTCAGTGCACTTTATACTAATCCCCAACAATCATATGACCCCCTACAAGCAAGCGCTTTGGCAACAGTGGGAAGGAAAAACTCCCTTTTAACAGGAAGAAACCTCCGGCAGAATCAGGCTCAGGGAGGGGCGGGGCCATCTGCTGTGGTCGGTTAGGGTGAGACACCAAGGTGTTTCCAAGAAATGTAATTTCTCCAGAGCATCGTGGATCTTCCCAGGGCCTCCTTCCAATGGGGCATGCACTGAACATCTTGAGCATCCTGGTCAGATGCCTTAAGAGGGCAGTGGCTCTATTCCTGCTTTTTCCTGAATGGCAGAATTCCTCACTCTATCTCCAAGGCTGAGCCTAGGCTCCCTTCAGAGAAAGCTCATTTCTATGTTGTATCTGTGACCTCATTCTTACGGACATGAGGTCACAGAGCTTGTGACTTAGGTGAACGTAAGGGCGTAGCTACAATTCAACAGCTTTGCTTTTACACTCAGCTTTCCCCTTACCATGACAGACCAGTACAGCATCTGCATCACTGTAGATGCTTCTCGAACCTGTCGATCCAATCTCTTGGTCCACTCCCCCCTAAATCATGAACAAGACCCCAAGATCTGTAACTGCTCTACCAAGGGTAGTAACTCGTTCCCATCCCAGAGAGCCCTTTTCAGTCTGAGGACCATGGTCTTGAATTTTGAAACACCATTTCTTATCCCAGTGTGAGTTGGAGAATCTCAAGATCCTGTGACCACCACACCAGACCTCTTGGCTGCTCCTAGAAATTTTGTCCATGGAAATTGTGGACGAAATCGTGACAAACGACAGCAGTCCCTTTGTTCAACAGTCACAAAGAACGAGTCTGACTTATAGCCAACAATGTGAACTGGGCTCTGGTAATGGTTGTACTGGTTAGGCCACAGCAATGGGCCTGATACCATATACTCCCAAAGCATCTCCAACAGAACACACGGTTGAATGCCTTCTTCAAGTTCCCAGAACTCATGTAGACTGTTTGGGAACTCCCATGCATCCTCAAACATCCTTGAGAAAATAAAGAGCTGATCCATGATCAGGATGAAAACCACCTCATGAATCTAAGGTTCCACTAACAGGCAGACGAAGTACCCAGGCTGAGGCTGAGAAGCATGAGCATCCTAAAGTTGGACCACACTTTGTGGACCCAGTCCTTGAAGAGGGGAACCACCACCACCCCAGTCTCCCAGTCCAGAGGCACTGTCTCTGACTGCAACACAATGTTGCAGAGGTGTGTCAGCTATGACAGCACCACAGCAGAGCCTGAGCCTTGACAAACTACCTCAGTGACCTTACTCCCAGTCCTCTTATACTACAAGAAGCCATGTCAGTGGGATTGAGGAGATTCTTTGATGTGTTAGTTCAACTGTCCTCTGTTGAGGTCAGCATCCCCACTATAGTCCCATCCCCATTATATACAGTGTGGACGGAAACTGCTTTCCCCTGACAGTTTGCCAGGCCAACCGAAAGGCTTCTTCCATGGCCTCTCTTCTCCCATACTGAGTTTTTGCCTTGGCTACTGTCAGAGCTGCACTCTGGTTAGCCTGCTGGTACAGCTGTTCCATGTACTCAAAACCAGTTTCAGTAACCAGGGATCAGACCCCCACATCCTTCCTCTTCTGTCTAACCTATGATTGCTGTGTTGTAGAATGCACAATCAGACAGGTTTTACATCATCTGTTTGAATGTAGGAAAAGCTAGAGGAGCTCTGGAAACCTTTATATCTCTGATAAATGCAGTTCTTTTCTGGTGATATGTTTATTGTTTCGTGTGATCTTTCCTAATATGACTGGTTTGCTTTGCTTTGTATCTGAATGCACCATACAAACGCGTGATTACAGGTGTTGGTACAGTTAAGTTTTGCTCATGCTACAGGAATGTAATTGTTAAGTGTTTATTGATTTCTTTGTTGAATGATTTTCAACAATGAGATTAATCCATATACATTTGAAAAAAAGTATAGAACATGAGAATTATTTCTAGAACTATCCTGCACTTTATTTCTTAAACCCACCTGATGCACACTGGTAGTGAAGGACACTGGGGGGTGAAAACCCTGATTTATGGGGTTCTTCCCATTTCTGACACGGTCTTATTTTGCGATACACTTCAAATGATGAGTCCTCACAAGCACAAACATGTCATGTTAGTGTAATCATTTTTATTTTTCTCCACTTGAATTGTTTGTCTCTTGTTGATTATGTTGACATTGAATTGAACCTCTCAAAGATTCGTTTTTTTATATGTGGTCACTGTTACAAGTTTACCTGACTCATTTGGAAGAAACCCCTTGTGTATTTCTCTATATATCAATGTCCTATGGGAAGTTCCTGATTGTTTGGACGTCCATATGTAAGATATTGTCTCTACCTAGGCTGCACTTACCCCTTCCTCCCTGCTCTCACCTGCTCCATAACATCTACTATACTATACTATATACAAATGGAAAACTCACGATTTTAAGGGCAGAGCCTGATATCTTCATCTTGATATCATCTTGTTGTCAAACCAACCTAAAATGTGAAATATAGTCATTTAATGACACACGGGTGACAAATTAAAGGAAAAATTGACACCTGTAATGTGGGGATTATCGGGCATAAGGGAAGCCTCACATGTACAACCTGTTGCTCTTAAACCCTTTTTCAATCCTAAGTGAATCAGACACTGCTGTCATTGGATAGTCCAGACAGACGGCTTCACTGTGCATGAAATCAGACAGAATTTACACATGGATGAATATAAATGGATTAGTGTGTTTCAGAAATTTGCCATCCTGCTAATAGTAGTCTATATGTGAAGTGTACATGTGTGGTGTGGTTGTTACGGTTATATTCAAGTCAATTCATGAACAATTACATTGAAATGTGCATTTGCTATAATTAGCACCAAATTGTGAACAAATTTCAGTAAGAGATCTTCTGTAAACAGAGCCACGTCATAATCTGCTCACAGACTTTGTTGTTGCGTTAGACTGTTTGGACTGTGGAAGTTATATCAGTATTCAACCATGCTTTTGGGGTATTTACATATAACATAGTGAAGACACAAGGAGTCAGCTGGGGCCCCGGAGAAAACAGCAAACATAAAATAAGAGTGAATAAAGCTAAACTACTGGCAAAAAGATTATGGATACAAATGCTCTTTTATTCACCGGGTAGGCAAAAACTGTAACTCATCAGTAAAGCTGCTTTTGTGTATGTGTGTATGTGACAATCTCTACATGCAACAATAGAAATACGTGGTCTGTAGTAGAAATAGAAAATAAAAAAACATCAGAGAAATAGGATGGACTGCTTCCATCAAGCCATAGTCCACCAGATGAATACAAAGTAGCTCTGAGTGATTCAATTCAATTTTATTTATATAGCGCCAAATCACAACAAAAGTCGCCTCAAGATACAGATAAATACAGAGAAAAACCCAACAATCATATGACCCCCTATGAGCAAGCACTTTGGCGACAGTGGGAAGGAAAAACTCCCTTTTAACAGGAAGAAACCTCCGGCAGAACCAGGCTCAGGGAGGGGCGGGGCCATCTGCTGTGATTGGTTGGGGTGAGAGAAGGAAGACAGGATAAAGACATGCTGTGGAAGAGAGACAGAGGTTAATAACAGATATGATTCAATGCAGAGAGGTCTGTTAATACATAGTGAGTGAGAAAGGTGACTGGAAAGGAAAAACTCAATGCATCATGGGAATCCCCGGCAGCCTACGTCTATTGCAGCATAACTAAGGGAGGATTCAAACTGAAGGCTCTCCCTCCCATTCTACTTTTAAATACTCTAGGAACAACAAGTAGGCCTGCAGTGTGAGAGCGAAGTGCTCTAATAGGGTGATATGGTACTACAAGGTCATTGAGATAAGATGGGGCCTGATTATTTAAGACCTTGTATTAGGGGTGCAACGATACACAAAATTCATGGTTCGGTTCGGTTCAATACTTTGGTGTCACGGTTCGATATTTTTTCGATACAAAAAAAAAATGTTCATGCCTTTTTAATTTGTCATTTATTAAATTTTCACGGCACATTCTGCACCACATCTCTGTGCGTTCATCATTTGTTTGAAGCCAGCTCACCTCCTGCAAACACTTTTCCGAGAATACGCGCTTCTTTTGTGGTTTGGAGGAACATCACAGTAATTGCTTAAAGGAGCGTCTTCGACATCTTTAAGAGTTCTAAACAAATGTCTGTCCTCCTCCTGAAAATCTTATGTACACAAACACGCGTTGCAACTTCTTATCTTGTGCGCGTTTTTTGTTTTGACAGCGAATGCGCACCTGCGGACCACTTATGTGCAGCCCTGGTTATTTAGCTTGTCATGTTGCAGCCACAGAAACTCTTTTGTCCATGAAACCATAAAGCTGCACTTTCTTTTTGCCTTATAGTCTGATTTGTCACAACTTTTCCGTTTTGTGGTAAGCTTTTCTTTGGCTGTCACTTCTTCACCCTGACCTGTCTTATTTGGCTCAGCAGAACTAAAATATATATCTGTCTGTGAAGGTTCTCAGTCATCCAGGTCATCGTAGTCAAATATAAATCCTGCTGCTTTTACACACACTCACATAACGCTCAGTGATTCTCTGCGCGATCAACCTCTCACATGTTTAAGCTGCGGGAGATTTCACTTGTCATGTTTGCATAGTGAGCTAACGATTGATAAGACGATGTCAGAGGAATTGGTGCACAAATTATCATCACTCACAGATCAGTGCTGTCGCTCTCTATACACAGTTCGCGCGATTGCAAAGTGAAAGCAAAAAAACAAGCGCAAATTCAAACGCGACTTCAATATGTCACATATTGACAGTGGCTCACAGATGCCAATGACATAATTACCCAGCTACATTTCCGAAAGAATGCAAAAGCATTGACATATATTTTTCCTTCCTACAATAGCCCGACGGGCAGGGCAGAGATAGATTTTGGTAGCCCGACTGGAAAAATCGCTAGCCCCGGGACGTCGGGCTAGCGATTTTGCGAGCCCTGTATCTGATTGAGGAATCACTCATCTTTGGAAAAGAGAGTTTATTACAGAGAAATGGCTCTTTCCAAAATAAAAGCTATACTATCCGCTTCTTCTGGGTTATATTCTCAGCAGCATATTAAACATATCAGGTCCCCATAAGGAGAATAATGTGCTAACGGCTGTCTAAATGACTCGGGTAAAGTTTGTAGCATGCGTGCTTGTTGTTTTTGTCTGCTTCCACTTGTCTTTGCACTAGGATGCTGTCGGAGTAAATGTGCAGTCATATTCGTTGTGTTCCCACTAGTGCTGTCAGCGTTAATCTGAAATGACGTTAACGCCACAACACGGCAAATCTCCGTTAACGAGCTACCGCGGATCGCCCCGTGCGTGGGGCTGGACGGCAACACGTTAACGAGCTAACTGCGCTAACACACTAGCTCCCACCAATGTAATTGAGTATTGCGTGGCACATCCAACATACTGTTTTACTTCAGTCCATGACGCGCTTACCTTCAGGGTCATTCGTCACATGAAAACCAAGATAGTTCCAAACGCCAGATCTGAATGAGGGTGGGGGAGGTTCAATTTGCCATGTTGCAACGAGAGCTTAACTTCTGTCTGCTAGCTTGCCCTGCGCTCAGTGAATCTGCGCTCGACTACTCCGCCTAGGCTGCACTGTCGAGCGCAGATCCACTGAGCGCTCAACACAGACAGCATCGTCAGAAGGAAAGTTGATAAAATAAATTTAAAAATTTTGTGTTGTTCGATACATATGCGTACCGAACCGAAAGCACTCGATGCGAGTATCGTTGCACCCCTACCTTGTATGTGAGGAGCAGGATTTTGAATTCTGGATTTAATAGGAAGCCAATGAAGGGAAGCCACTTTTGAAGTGATCACTTTTATGTTTTATATCCTAATGAATGTGCTCTCGTCCTGCATGGCAGCGCCCTAATTCATTGAATGGCTCAATCATTATTTAAAGCCTACTGTGTTTTAATGAAGGTGGTATTCTTCCAGCAATTTTTAGAATTCATCCCTTCAAGTAGCACCAGATAGGCCAAAACGGCATATATAGATTTTCCTTTAATTTGTCACTTATTGATATTTTCCCCACAGTGTTTACCTTTGAAATGGTAGAAAATGATGAAACATGAGGTCTGTCATTTCAGGTCTACACAGTTAAAAAAAAGAAAGAAAACCAAATAAAGTTAAAGATAGATCTTTAGTGGGCAGACACACTTCTGAATGTTTCGTGTACAGCATAAAATTACTCAGAAATGAAGATGAGTCAGATTATTTCATCAAGAGAAGATGCTGAAAAGAGATTTCCATTGTTCAAATAATGTTATTATTGATAGAGCTGCTGTTATTTTGACATGTTTGCGATGTGAAACACGTGGACGTTACATGTGACTCATTTCTTTATCTTTCTTTTTCCCACAGCAAAAGTGTCTGCTCTATTTAATATGATTGATGTGACTTAGTGTGAAAAGATGTGTATTTAAAGTCAAACAAACAGGTATGTACATAGTTTTATGTCAAGTCACTTGTTTCACTATTTTTGAGACACCCAACAACCCCTTTGCTGGTTTTTGTGTTATTTTCTATTGTAAATAGTACTTTCATCACAATGCACTCTGTGACATCCTGAAAATGGTGCCATATTACTGAACTTTTATTCTGTCTTTACCTAACCACGGTAATGTTACCAAGACATGACGTGCTGTAGATTATTTGGCCTGTGCCCTTTGTTTCAGAAGCATTTTTTCCTTTAAAATAAGGTTTTCTGCAAACACACAAACATCTTACAGACATGGAACTATGACCACTCATACATTTCTGTCTTTCAGCCCTCTAGTTTTGTATTCACATGAACAGTAGGGATGTCTAACGTCTGTCAATGAATTCTTATTGTGGACCCCTGACATTTAAAGGTGCTATACGTAGCATTTGAACAATAAATAAACCTGTACCACATTTAATTTGTGAAGCCTGTGTAATTACAGAGAACAAAGTAGCCAGGATTTGACCAAGGTGCTCCACAAGTGGCAATGTCACGGTTCGGCATGGCAAACCGTGGGAGGCGTGGGGAAGGAGGACCCAGGCGCGGCGCTCTATGTACAAACAGTGCGTTTATTTACAGTGTATGGTACAAAACAACAATAAATCCCCGTGCTTTCCCTGACTCCCGTGTCGTGTCTTTCCGTGAATAGTCCGTGTCTCAGTGCTCTCCGCTCTCGTGTCTCAGCACTCCTCGTGCTGGCTGCTGTCTGGCGCTCCACACTTCTCCTGGGGACACAATAGACACAGCCGTCAGGACACATATAACCGCGGGCATACACACACTAACTCAGTTCAACTGGATGACTAACGTGGAGTTTCATGGAATGATCCCGCGTCGGTGGGAGCTCCAAGACTCTCTTAAGTAGCTCCCCCGACGAGGCCTGATCAGCAGCAGGTGTGTGGCTTCGGGTGTGGTCAGTCCGCCAGCAGGGCCACACCCACCAGGCCTGAAGGCGCCCGCAGAAACACATACACACACACAAGCAGGGATAACGAGGGACAGCAATACAAAATATATATTATAATATTAGTCCATAACTGCTCAGGGATCCTGGGTCGCTCAGACCCAGGACCCTGACAGGCAACCTCTTTGTAAGAAAAATAAAGCCATGGCTCAAAGGCCCAAATCTGTAGTTCTCCAAGTGCAATGAAATGAAATCTGGTCTTTAAGTCTGACGTCATTAGCCGTGTCCGGTCCCAAACTCCACTGCAGGTCCATAAGTCACTCGGTCATTGCAGCATCAATGAGAGTTACAAACTGTCTAAATTCTTTCTACCACGTTGCTGCTCTACCAGGTGTAACAATTAAGTTTAAAATCCAGGCATCCATGAAAACCGAATTCATGAAATTTAACGGAGTTAGATGTTAGCAGGAAGTTAGCTCGCTAGCTTCTATCTAAATATAACACAGTGCTCAGTGTGCTTTTCATGGGAAATCAATGTCCTGACTGAGAGATTTCCGAAACAAATTAAGATGTAGAGCTGAAAAACTGGAAACTAAACAGCAGTGACGTTTGTAGGGTTACTGAAGTTGGGCTAGCTGCTATATAATGATGTGCCAAGTGATCGCTAGCTACACAGCTATGTTAGCATAACATAAACAGTGAAGCTGGAGGATGAACGCTAACTTTTTTTCCACTTGATAAAAGTTAATGTGAGGGTTCCTGATGGTTAGAGACAAATGCAATCGCATGGCAGGATGCTGTAAACGGACCAAACTTCAGTCAGGAGAACAACTGAGATAATCCATCCACAATACGAGGTTAGTCATTAATATACTGCTGCATGGGCTGGGCTGTAGTTACACCAGAAGGGTTTAAAAACGAAGCTTTGAAATGAACAGCGGTAATAAAAACTCAGAGGCCGACTGATCACTGACT